TTCGACACCTCTGTCCTTCACTTCTTCCCCGGACGCACAGCACTCGCTTCACACCGTTTTTATTGACCGATCGCAGCCGAGGAAGATTGATCAGCGGGAATAGGAAGGGACTTCTCCCTTCCCCAGCCCCAGCTAGCCAGGGCCTCGGGCCACACTCCAGTTTCAGGCCCTCGGCGTGGCTCCCAGCCCCCAGCCCCATAGGTTCCCGGCGGCTTTTCTGTCGTTCACTGAGCGCCCGGGTCCGCCCAGGCCGGCGCCGCGGCTCCAGGGGGAGGGACGCGGCGGCGCGGCCCGGCTCCGCTTCTTTATGCCGCCTGCAAATATTTGCTGCCTTGCTGGAAATCCGACTATTTTTTCGTGCGCGCTCGGCTTCCAAAGTCTTTAAGTAAACACGCTCAAATGACCGCCCCGGGCGGCCCGAGGCACCCTCTCTCCCCCTGCGCGGGATTAGAAACTTTCGACCCCTCCACCTCGGCTTTACTGGTTTCCCTCGGCCAGCAGCGCGCGGGTGCCTCAGACCGCTCCTGCCAGCACCTCGGCCCGGCGGAGCTCGCCTGGACGCGCTTGTCGCCTGGCTCCAGAGGGTGACGCTGGCCTCAAAGATCTCCACTCTGTCCGCGATCCCAGGGCTGAGCCTGGGGACCTGTTTCTCCTCTGTGCGCCGCGGCCTCTGGTTTCATTGCTGGACCGGCTTCCCCACTTCCACCCGGACAGGGTCTCTGCGCCCCCGGGAGGGCGTGTGGGAGGGAACTGCACATGGCTCGTGTTGGCGGGGGGTGGTTATGTGGGTCCCAGCTTACCCCAACCAAGGACTTAGACTCCATTCCTCACCCTTTCTCCAAGCGGACACACATACCCTGCTCAACTTGACGCCTACAGCAGCCGCCTGGAGGCCTGGGGATTCAGTTAGGCCAAGAGGCTGCAGCAGACGCACGCTCTGCACTGAGACCCAGGCTCCTGGAGGCGGTGGCCAGGTCGTCGCCTGTTGGGCTCCAGCATTCTTGCTCCCAGGGTCCCAGGCGTCCAGGCCTTTTGCCAGCCGCTTACCCTGGTGAGGGAGGCCTCGCGCCCTACAAGATCAGGAACCCTGGAGGGCGGCGGCAGTGGCGGCGGCAGCATCCTTCTTGATAGCCTCCTCGTTTTCCTCCTCTGGAGCTCAGTCGGCTGCTCCGAGGGAGGAGGGGGACTCGCTAGACCGGACTGGGGCCGGGTGCCTGGGGAGGAGGCTCGACAGGTCTGCGGGAGGGCGCTCAGGCGTCTCTGCAGGAGGCCAGGATCAGCTTTGTGGCTGCGGCTAGGGGAGAATCAGGACCACCTTTCCCCCTTCCCCCCCGCCCCCGGCCTCGAGCCCTCTCCCCTCCCCCGCCCACCCAGGGAAGAGGAAGCCCGGCCTGGCTTTGCCGGCGAGGCGGGTCAGCTCGGCGCCTGGCCTGGCTCGGACCCCCACAGCCCGGCTCTCAGCCTCGGGCCACGCGCCGCAGCCTCTCCGGCCTCGCTCCCTTCCCCCTTCCTTCCCCGTGGGTCCCGGGCCGACCTCGGCCCTCCCTTCTTTGCATCCCCCTCCCCTGCTTTTCCCTCCCCCCTGCTCTGTGCTCTGGGCTCTGGGGCTGGGCCCGTGACGTCAAACCCAGTGTGGCGTCGGCGAGACTGGCCGGCGCGGGCCATCAAAAGAGCAACGTCCTCTTTCCCAATTACCCACTGTCAGTCCGGGAACAGGGGCGGACCGGCTGGGAATTAAATGTTAAATACCCCCTACAGGCTGGCTCCATTACCCGGGGCATCCAGCCCCGGCCCCCACCCCTCTCTGCCAGCCTACTACCACCCAGACCAAGACCGAGAGGGGCCTTCAAGATCTTTTATTTTCCCGAGGGGGGTGGGGGGTGGCAGGATGCCCTCCTCATCATTGTGCAGCCCGACTCGGTGCTGGAGATTGAATTAAAACGAATAATCCCTCCACCCCCAACATGGCTATCAGAGAGGCGCCCTTACACCGGAAGGCCTCCTCACACACATTTTCCTTTTGTCTTTAAAAATCGTTTTTTAGTTTCTGACGTTAACATTTTCACGACCTGGAGTCAGCAGCTCTTCTGTTCCGAGGATGGTTCTCTTTTACCCTTTCTCAGGCTTCTAGGACCAAAGAACTACCTCGGGGTATTCCGCGTGGTTGGGAACTAAGGTCGGGCTGGTTGGCCTGTCCACGTCTCCATGCACACGCGGAAAAGCACTTTTTTTTTTTCCAGTTTATACCCTCAATCTTAATCTCGGGTCTCTTAGCAGAAATGCGTACGCGTTCATTTCTCCTTCTTTATAGAGCGGTTTCCGGTGAGTGTTAGCGACTAAATAATTAAAAGGTTTGGAGAGCGCCTTGAGCGAGCGGAGATGCGGGCAGCGTGGCTGGCCCGGGAGAGATGAGCGGTCAGCGAGGAAGGGAAATCGATGCTCCGCTACTGGGCCGCCTGCGTAAGCCCAGGAGAAACGTGGAGGGAGAGATTTTCTTTTCAAATTTAAGGTTTTTCTTCCTGTTGGAAATTCTAGAAATCCAGTCTTGATTTCAAACAAGTATCAGACCTTAAGGAGGTGAAGACTGAAGAGAACCTCCAAATTCAAGATCAGAAGGGCCCACGGCTCTCCCACTTCTCTTGGATAAATTTAATTCATCTTTCAACAAGGATTGCGTTTTAAAACTAAGATACCTCCCCCCACCAAGTTGAAGCTGAATATTGATGTTTTTCTTTCACCGCATGAAAGAATCCTTCAAAAGATAACTTTTGGGGACGGCTTCTTCTATCTCAAATTTTTCTGTTCGTAGGGTATTAACAGTATGGTACAGGAGCTAAAGAGGGAACAGTGTCTCCAAATAAAACCCCAAATCAAGCTCTAAGCTCGTCGGTGGGATCGCTTGCGGGAGAAGGTACACTCGCTTCTCGCCCACGTTGCCCTGGAGTGAACGGAGAGTGGACCTAGGTCCTAGAGTCTTCTTTTCTCGCCTGACCCCTGCACACCCGGCCGCGTTTGGGGGCCCTTGGCTGCAGGAGCCTCAGCGCCGCTAGGGGAGGCAGCCGCTCCAAGGACAGAGCCCAGCCACGCGGGTTGGAGCCCGAAGGGCGGGCCAATCGGGGCCTGGCCTCAGCCTCGCCCGCTGATTGGTCCTCCTCGGCCCGCCCCCTCCCCGGCCCCGCCCTTCGCAGGGACCTGCGTTCGCTCCTCCCGCGGCTGTCGGCGGCTCCGGGAAGATCCCAGGACCCGCGCAGTAGCTGCCCGGCGGCCGGACTGGGGTCAGCGCTCGTTCCTCCGCTGGGGCAGAGGCGCCAGAGCCGGCGTGAGTGGGACTCTAGGCGGGGCGGAGGGAAAAGTTCGGTCACTGGAATGAAGATCGAGTTCGTTCTGTCCGGCCACACTTGGGAATGAGTTAGAGTCGATCTCTCTTCCCCCGTCGCCTCACGGCTGTTCCCGCAAATCTAAGGCGAACACTGGTTGTAAATATTAGGCCCGTAAAGGGCAGAGCTGCAGCCGATGCTCGAGAACGCCAAAGGCTCAGGAAAATGGAGACAAGGGCAACAAAAATAACGAGGGCGTTCCAATCCAAGGCGTGTTCCCTTTGCCCTATTCTTCAACCCCTTAAGAAATTGGGCCGAGAGGCAAATCCCGACGTACCTGGACATTACTTTTTTTTCTAATCAGTTTTATATGCACATATCCCCAAATCGGTGAACTCTCCCCAATGCTCTGGATTGGATAATTAGTCATAAGAAACGCTTTCCCATTTAAGAAAATCTGAACAAGAAACGTCTGCCTGTAGAAGTTAACTTTATGAATGGGGCAGGCTGGTTCCGCCGGGACGCAGCGCTGTCCCGGCCCGAATGAATCGGCAGGAGCCGGAGCCACATTTAAAGGGCCAGAGCGCGAATTCGCCGGCGCCCGCCCTCTCCGCCCCCAGCCCTGCGGGCCGCGCCCACCCTGCCCGCCGCCCCTCCGCCCGCAGCCGCCCTCCGCGGCGCCCCTTTCCGGTCAGTGGAGGGGTGGGCGGAGGGGCGGGGGCGTGCGGGAGGTGGGGGGAGAAGTCCCGGAGCGGGTTTGGGTTGCAGTTTCCTTGTGCTGGGGATCCTGTCCCCTGCTCGCCAGCGCCAGGCTCCTCCCCCCGGCGCGATGACACTAGAACCTCCTTAAGTTGCGTCGCGCCACAGCTGTCTGCGAACACTGAGCTGCCTGGCGCCGTCTTGATACTTTCAGAAAGAATGCATTCCCTGTAAAAAAAAAAAAAAAAAAAGGGAGAGAGAGAGACAGAGAGAGGAGAAGAGAGAGAGAGGGAGAGAGAGCGAGACAGAGCGAGCCACGCAATCTGACCGAGCAGGTCGTAGCCGCCTCCTCCTCCTCCTCTCTGCTCCTTGCTCGCTGTTCAGGTTGGTACTGGTAACTTTTTTTTTTTTTTTAAGTTGGATGCCCACCCTTCCGTTCACTTGGGAGGACTTTAAAAATTGTATAAAAATTCAACTCTCCTCTTTTGGAGATTTCGTAGAGGCTGGAAGGAAAGTCCCGGGGCTGGTGTCCCCGAGGGAGGGACTTGACGTCCACGTTGAGACCGTTCGGCCGGCCCGGGGCTTCCGCGCGCCGGCTGCCGGGGTGTCCCTGGGAGCCTTGCTCCTCTGCGGCCGCGGCCCCGCGCTCGTGTGCGAGTCCCGGGTGCGCTGGGTCGGGAGGCCTCGCGGGGAGGTGGTGCCTCTCCAGAAACTCAGGTGCTAAAGTACCTACGGCTCATCCAGGTCTCTTCTCTCCCGTGCAGGTGACCCGAGGAGGGACTCAGCCTCGGAGCCGCCGAGGAACCCGGTGCAGAGAGCCTCCCTTGCAGGAGTCTGGAGTCCTCGCCCCCTTTTACAATTTGGCCCCCTGTTATCCTGCCGTTCCTAGTTTTTGGAATTTTTTCCTTCCCCTTCTTCTCTTTGCTAAACTACCCTTCAAAGACTTTTTCAAAGCCCTGTGGTTCGCTCACCTTTCCTTCCCAGCCTTCCCGTTCTCCCACTGAAGGCGAATCATTAAGCCGCCCCCGGCCCTCGGACCGCAGGAGCCCGCGACCTCCCAGGCCGACCGCCCTCCCTCTCCGCGCGCGGGTGCCGGCCCAGCGAGAGGGCGCGAGCGCAGCCGAGGCCATGGAGGTGACGGCGGACCAGCCGCGCTGGGTGAGCCACCACCACCCCGCGGTGCTCAACGGGCAGCACCCGGACACGCACCACCCGGGCCTCGGCCACTCCTACATGGACCCGGCGCAGTACCCCCTGACAGAGGAGGTGGATGTACTTTTTAACATCGACAGTCAAGGCAACCACGTCCCGTCCTACTACGGAAACTCTGTCAGAGCCACGGTGCAGAGGTACCCTCCGGCCCACCACGGTGAGTCTGCCCGGTGTGCAGGGACCCCGCCGGCTGCGCCTGCTCTCGAGATCCGAGAGGCCGAGGAACCAGGGGAGGGAGGGGGAGGCCGGGCGAAAGCCCTTAGCTGCGGGCACTAGTTCTTTTACCCAAAAATTGGGGCCCGGAAATGGGTGAGGAAACTGTCTTTCTCCTCGGAAGAATGTGTTTTGAAAGAAGATTCGCAGCAGCCGCCTTTTTCGGCCGTGTCTCTGGGGCTTGGCGCTCACCTGGCGGGCGCAGAGCCCGCAGCCCTCTGTCCTGGGGTAGCCTCAGGTTCAGGGCCCGGGAAGTCCCGGGAGCGGCTTAACAAGGCTCTGCCTCTGCGGGCCGAGGTGCCCCAGGCCCGGCAGCCGGCGCGGGCCAAGGCGAGCTGGAACCCGGCTCCTCCAAAGAGCTTGCCTCCCTGTTAATCCCATAGCTCTTTCTAAGGGAGGTTCTGCGTGGGGTGGGGGATTCCCACTTTATTTCTCCACGCACATTTTCAGAAAGGCCCTAGAGATGTATTTATTTACACCTTTCTCTTTGACCTTTCCTCAAAACTAGTGGATTTGAGTTTGGGACGTGTAGCTTGGGGAATGGAATTCTGATCCTGAGGGGTTTTGAGGGCGGAAGACCAGACCCCTAGCTTCAGTGTGAGGGACCTGAGGTGTCCTAGGTTCCTGCTGCGCAGAATTTTCCTGCTTCTTTGCTCTCTGGTTGCCTCATTGCCTTACTCTCTTCTCGGCCTAAGGCAGCCCATTAGCTCTTAAATAAGATTTAGGATACATCAGGGTTCTAGGAGGTGTGATTCTAGTGTTCTGGTGACACCCCCTTTTTTCCTTTCAGCTTGAGAAGTTTACAAGCGTTCTAAATGTATAAAAGAAAACCAGCCCTATGTATTTGGGGAGGGGGGGTGAGATCAAACACTCTCCCGCTGTAAGTTTTGTGTTTAAAGAAGAAATCAGAGCAAAAATTCAGGCAGAGGAAATGTCAGGCTTTCTATGGCCAGCTAGACCCAGATCTGCCCTGTCCTCATACTCTGTCTGCTTTGGTGCTGATGACACAGCCCCTCCTGCAGCCGGCATCCTCTGCCCTGCTGTCTCTGGGTTTTAAACAATCCTTTCTGTGGATGGGGCGCTCTTTGCCCATGTTCTGTGCAGATCAGCAGTTAAGTGGAAATGCAGACTTAATATTATTTACTATACTACTTCCTGCATAATGTGAATCTTGACCCTTGGTGTTCAGAGAACCCTCCTTCCCCCTGAACTCCCCTCCCCTTCCTCTCTCTTAAGATTTTAGTTTCAGTATTGCTCTTAATGGTTGAAGAGAATGTCGGATGCTGAGGCAGGTACTGGATTAAAAGATCATAAAGAATCTAGATTTGCACTTGGAGTTTAAAGGCTCCCTCTCATTATACAGATTTGTACGAGTTATGGTTACCTTAAAATGGTGTATTTTAAATGAAGGCTAAATAGACTCTGTGTGCGTCATCCTTGGTTTCAAATAGACACCTCCACTGGAATTTTATGTCTCAGGGGCTCAGGTGAAAATTCACACACCATGCTGGTGGCATCGCAGCTTTGAGTGCATGGGAGACTTACTCGATTTTCTTTTCCTATAGGATTTGGGAGGGTGAGAAAAGAAGGGAAACAGTGCCAGGGCGCAGCCTTAGAAACTCTCTCCAACGGCCTGAGCGACCGAAAATTTCCTTGCAAATCCTATTTCAGGCCTTTTGGAAGCAGCCTTGCAGATTCTGAGAAACCTGCATTAGGTTTCTGGGAACTAAGCCGAAGGTGTCTGTCCTCTTTCCCAAGGCCTCTCCTTCCTGCAGGCAGGCAGGCTGCAAGCCGGGCCTCTCAAAAGTGCTGAGCGGCTGTGTGCCCAGGCTCTGTCCTTCAGGCCTCATCTTCACAGCCCACCTTCTTATCAGTCAGGCTGGGATTAAGTCTGGGATCGGGGACCCTGGGCCTGTGAAGGCAGCCAATAAATCAAGTCAGCTTCTAGAGAGGGACTCTGGGAATGTGATTTAGACTTGTACCTAGCGGCCAGAGGGGCCCAGGGGCCCTTTTCCACTCCTGTAGCACCTTACTTGTGTCGGGAAAGGCCCTTAGTCTGGGTGGCTGTGAGAGGAATCCCTGTAGGAGAGAGCGGGGGATGGAGCCTTTCCTACCTCCTGCCCTTAGGTGTGTTGATCAGGTAACCTGGGACTCCTTGGGTTAGAGAGTGGGCCTCAGCCCTGTCCAGTCTGTGGTTGGACGTTTGCTGACATGGAGGCAGGGGCCTGAGGGGGAAAGTCCCCAGGTGTGTCTAGGGGCCTCTCAGGGCCATCCTCACCCTTCTTCTCTCTCCTGCCCCTTTCCCGCCTGGCAGGGAGTCAGGTGTGCCGCCCACCTCTGCTGCATGGATCCCTGCCCTGGCTGGATGGTGGCAAAGCCCTGGGCAGTCACCACACCGCCTCACCCTGGAACCTCAGTCCTTTCTCCAAGACGTCCATCCACCACGGCTCTCCTGGGCCTCTCTCCGTCTACCCGCCGGCCTCGTCCTCCTCCCTGTCGGGGGGCCACGCCAGTCCGCACCTCTTCACCTTCCCACCTACCCCGCCCAAGGACGTCTCCCCAGACCCGTCACTGTCCACCCCAGGCTCTGCCGGCTCGGCCCGGCAGGATGAGAAAGAGTGCCTCAAGTACCAGGTGCCGCCGCTGCCCGACAGCATGAAGCTGGAATCGTCACACTCCCGTGGCAGCATGACCACCCTGGGGGGGGCCTCATCCTCGGCCCACCACCCCATCACCACCTACCCGCCCTACGTGCCCGAGTATGGCTCCGGACTCTTCCCCCCCAGCAGCCTGCTGGGCGGCTCCCCCACCGGGTTTGGATGCAAATCGAGGCCCAAGGCACGATCTAGCACAGGTAGGAGCTGCCTGTCCCCCAGCCCTTCCTCTTCCTCCCACCTCTCCTCTTTCCAAATCCAAGGCCCCACAGGGCTAGCACCAGAGCACCAGAGCACCAGAGCACCAGAGAGAGCCCTTCTAGGGAGCTGGGGTGTCCCCAGCCCTGCTGAGATTCTGTTCCTTCCCCTGTTCCAGCAGGAGGAATGCGTGTGTCCTCCTGTCCCCTCAAGCGGAGGGGAAGTGAGATCCGATTTAAAAACCCCCAATGAGCTGTGAAAGGAAAAAGACAAACAAAAACACAGCAATGTCCTTCTAGGCAGGACTTCTGGGTTCTGCTGGTAACCTTTAGTCAGTTTCCAAGACCAAATGGAAGGCTGAGGGAATAAATCTTTAGTGTTTAATGCTAAAACGAAACCTCCTCAAACCTAAACAAACACAGGTCCTCCAATGACCCCTTTGGCCTCTGTCAGTCTGACTGTCCTTCTCTGCTCAGCTCTAAGGGATCAGGCAGTGAGGACAGCTCTTTATAGACACGTGTGAATAGAGAGAGTGTGTATATATAAATTGGCGGGGGGGGGGGTGCAGGAACTGGTAAAAGCAGCACAGATTCTTTGTGTTGAAAAGGGGACTCTTAGACCGACTTCTGGAAGGGAGAGGTGGCTCTGCACTGAGGAAGCAGAATTGAATGACGATCTAATGGTGCTCGGCCCACTTGGTTACCTGCAGGGTCTCAGTAGAGCTCCTGGTGCAGGCAGGGGCAGCAGCCCCGTTGGGATGTTCTCCTCCGCTGATCTGAAGCTGGAGGAGGTGGAAAGGGCTGGGGTTCTCCAGGTATGTCTCTGCTTCTCCAACTCCCTCCCTTTCCAGAATGTACACCCTGCCTGGTCTAGCAACATGCACCATATTTACCCTGCTGGTGTCATCTCTTGCATTAAAAAAATACCCCAAATAGGTTTGCTTTAAAAATAAAATAATCTTTCACCATTTTTGTTTCTAACCAAAGTAATTGAGTCAAAAGAGAGACAGAGAGAGAGAGAGAGATAGATAAGAAGTGACTGTTTTCACACAGGGCATTGTGAGGACTGGGATGTCTCCTTAGGTGCAAGCATTTCAGGGTGGGCATCTCCCCTCCGAGACTCACCTCTGCCCTCTCTCTTACATACAAGCCATGGTGAGAATCACTTGTCTTTTAACGGAGTTTCCAAAGCTCCAGTTTGAAAAACTTCGGAGGGAGGGCTCTGGGAGCCCAGTGACCATGAGATCAGTTTTCAGGGTTTTTTCCAGGGTGACATTTACTCCGACTGCCTGGGCAGGACTGTCTCTATTTAGTTGATATGTTTTAGCTAATCCAATTATTTTCAGACTGCTGCACGCGACAGTTGCATTGTTTATCCCGAGCCAGGAACTTTAATAGAGTCCGGATGCGGTTAGACTGAGAAAAACTCAGACCTGCATGTTCAGTACATGAAAGTGGCAGGAGGCAGAGGGAGGCAGGCCGGCTGATGGAGTCAAAAAGAAAGCCGGGAGAGTAGCCCACGGTGCCGGCCAGGGCTGGCCTTGGTGGGGAGGGGGAATGGTTAGGGAGAGATGGGGTGCAGCTTGACCCAGAAAAAAAAAACAGGTTGGGGGGCTGAATGGAAAGAGGGCAAACCTGTGCATTTTGGGGTCATCATGGGATTTTTTTTTTCTTTAAAGTTCTCTTTTCTGGTAAGGCTATGAGGCTGGGGGAAGGTGGTGGTATCTGAGGTCGGTGCAGTGGTTTGTGTGGGGGAGGGGACAGTGACTTTTCCAAGAGATTCTGGTTTCTTTGCCCTCGTTTCCGTGTTTGATTTCTCCCCTGTCTCTTGTGCACACGGTCTGCCTTCGGTGTAGCTGTTTTTTCCTTCCTCTCATCTCTTCCCTTAAGACTCTGAACGTGGGAGAAGTGTTTTCCCCCAGCCAGAGCTGGGGATATGTAAGCTCCTATTTTATTTTTTTGGCAAAGGAGAGAGGAGGAGGCCATTGAAACTGCCCTTTTTACTTCCTCCTCCTTATTCCCTTCTCACCAAGAACAAGCACACCTGGCCAGCCAGCGAGTTGGGACTTTTGGGAGCCTGGAGGGAAGTTTCGAGAAGTCCTTCTGTGTGCAAGAGGGTGGGAATTCTTGAGGAGGGGGATTCTCTGGGTTTTAGTGGTTGTTTTCTTTCTTGCTTTTTTTTTTTCTTTTTTAAACCTCTTCTTTGCAAATGTACTTGCTGACAGGAGACTGAGCCTTGTCAGGGTTGTTGCTGGAGGAACGGTTGAGTTGTGGTTAGGGTACCTACTGCTTTCTTAACGCCTGGGCTTTCAGGGCTGGGATCTATCTTTGCAAACAAAAGACAAAGCCTTTTTGCAAAGGCCATTTCTTTGGGCGCCTCCCTCCACCTTCTTCTGGAACAATCTCCTGTCCTGCTCCTGCCCCCTCGCACAGCCCAATTTCAGGCGTTTGCAAATGGCTGTTGAATGTCAAGAGGCCTCGGAGCTCTGTGGTTCTTGTCACCTAAGAGAGAGGTGTCTGCCTGAGCTGTTCACAACAGGCAGGGGGCGAGGAGAGTGAGGAGAGAAGCTGGAGAGAGTCAGGGCCCTCCATTAGGAAAATTGGCTGTTTGCTGAAGTCACAGACCAGAGGCAACAAGGAAAAGAGAGAAAGAAAAGCCCACACAAGGCGATCGCGAGCTTGCCGAGTGAATCAAGACAGAAAATTGCCCTAGTGTGCAGAGCCTTGTTGAGGTGGTAACCGTTGCTGGCTTTCAAGGTCCCTCTGAAAAGGAAGCTGTCATCCTCCCCACTGCCCTCAAACGAAAGGAAATCAGACTGATCGAGTTGGGCTGGGAGGTCCCCCAGAGCCCGGTGCTGGCCCAGGGTGGAGCAAGCCTCCCACAGTCCTCTGCCCTGTGCCCAAGGGGGCATAGTCTGGGTGGCCCCTGTCTGGGCAGGATGGGGAGTGGGCCTGCAGCTCCAGCCACGACAGGGCCAGGGCTGCTGCCCCCCCTTGGTTGGGGGGCATGCAGGTGGCTTCTCCTCGCCCACTCACCCTGTGTGCTTCCCTCACACCTCCCCCACATCCAGTCTGCCACATCTCTCAGGCTTTTGACCCCCGCAGAGGTATCTGGGTATGATTCAGTCCAAAGCCTTTTTGAGAAGAGCTGTTGGCAGACACTATGATGTGCTTGTGTATAATCACCGGGGTTCTTGGACAGAAGACTCTCTGCAGAACCCAGGCTCTAAAAATCTTTTTGGAATCTGGAGCAAAAAAAAAAAAAAAAAAAAAAATCTCTTTTCAAAATTTCTTGGAAAATAGATAAACACTAGTCAGTACCAACCCTGGCTGTAATGGAAGAGCAGGCAAGACACTCTCCCATTTGGGAAAGTGTGTAACTTTTCCTGCATGCTAGTTCCCTCACACTTGGTCTGGGGGTTTCCAAAGGCCTGATGGGCCCGACAGCTGCTGAGGCAGCCTTCTCTTCTTTTTAGGGGTGTGAGAATTCCTAAGTGCCCTGTGGGGTCTTTGCTCCCTACTGCAGTGTTCCTTGTGAGTTGTCACCATTCATTAATCTCTTAAAGCACAACAATCCTCAGGGCTCACCTTTCTCCCCTGTTCACCTTCCAGTATCTTCCTTGGGGCCTCCCCCTCTCCCGGCAGCCACCTTGAGTTGAAGCCTCCCTCCCAGGCACTAAAAGAACTAGGCGCTGTGGGTGGTGGGCCCGTTGCCCCACCCCCCAAAGCAAGAGATTCTCCAAGAAAAGCATGAAATCAGTTAGCAAACTCCCTGGTGTCCTAACATGGCAATTTAAGGGATTCCTCCAAGGAACTTGCTGGGAGTGGGTCTAGGGTGGTGAATTCAGCCCAGAGGAACCCAACCCGGCCTGGCCGGTTTTTTGTTTATTTTGTTTGTTTGTGTTTTTGGAAAAAGAGAAACTTGGAGAGCGCCTTGGTTAATGAGCCACCAAGAGCCCCCACTTTGTCCCCCTAGCCTATCCCCCTTCTCCACTTCCCCCCCCTTCTGCTTCTCCCCCCAATACCCCCTGGCTGGGGTCACCTAACCCTTTCTGGAAAGCTGTGGAAATCCCTGCTAAGTCCTCATCCCTTCCTTTCCAGCCAGCCGGAGACACTTCCAGTTTGATGTAAAATAAAATGTGAAGCCCTAGCTACTCAGATCAATCAGCCAGTTGATCAATCAATACATCTATTTATTATCTGTTTTATGTATCTAGCCATTGATTAATCTTTTTAAACTGGATTCTAATCTTCATTACTTAATCCATCTATATGGACAGACCCAGGGATGATAATGGGTCAACGTTGTTTTTTCTTTTTACCTTTGAGGGAAATGAATGGAATGTTTTGCTTTTGCACTATGCAAGGCTCAGAGCTTTCTCAGGGAAGTCGTTCAGGTTGGAATCTGCCTTCCTCCTTGGTCTGCCTGACCTTTCCTTACCTACTGGGCAAGCCAAGAATAAGGCTCTTTGGCCGTGAATGCATCTGCCCCTTCTGTGGGTGTGCCAGGGGTGGTTACTGGGAACAGCAGTCTGCTGTGCTCCACTGGGAGCTACTCAGAAGGAGGTGGGGGTGCAGTGGTCCCCAAAAGAGGAGGAAGAAAGAAAAAAAGTTTTCCATTTTACTTTTCTCCCCAAATTCCAAATGCTGTCAGCGTCCCTGCTTGTTTTCCTTCCATAAGTGACTTATCTGCAATTTTGTTTCCAGAAGGCAGGGAGTGTGTGAACTGCGGGGCCACCTCCACCCCACTGTGGCGGCGGGACGGCACCGGCCACTACCTGTGCAATGCCTGTGGGCTCTACCACAAGATGAATGGGCAGAACCGGCCCCTCATCAAGCCCAAGCGAAGACTGGTAAGTCTCCCTCGGGTGGGACTGACCCTCACTGTCCCTTCTGGGTTTTTCTTTTCCTCTCTCCCGGAAGGACGGCTTTCTGCAGGAAATTGGCAGGATGGCTCCAAATCATGTCAGCTTGCTTGGGACAGTTGTTTTAAATTGTTCTTTTCAAATTAGATATTCAGAAAAAGTCTCTTTTCTTTTTTTCCCCTTGGTCCATACTTCTTAAATTGTTAATGATGCTGCCTTCTTGGTTGTCAAATCTGAGATGTGGTCCCTACTGGAACAACTGCCTTAGGTCCAGGGAGGCTGACTCAATGTGTGCTGATAATTGAGGTTTCACAGATGGAGACATTAGGATGAGGGTATGGTGTCCGAGGAGCTGTCTGGAACCTGTCTCTGAGGCGGTTGCACGTGGTTATCGAGGAAGGGTCACTGGCAGGCTCGGTGCTGTGAGTGGGTCTCTTGTGCCGATGCTTTCTAATGGATGGGGCGGATGAGATGAATTTGGGACGCAGCAGCCTCCAGAGAGCCCAGCAACTGAGTCCATCTTTCTTGGTCTCAGGCCCAGAGGACCCAGCCTGGGCAGTGCCTTGGGGAAGTTTGGGGAGTCCTGTGTTGCCTCAGTCTTGCCTAGCACTTCATCTTATTTTCTCTCTGAGCTGCACTCAGCAGGGTGATGGTTTTATTTGTTTTTATTTCCCCCCCCTTCTTTCTTTTTTAAACTTTTTGACCATGAGGACTCCTTGAGGAAACCTGGCTCTGTCAAGCATTTATAAGGAAAACCGGCAGGAAGGTTCATTCCTAAGCTTGTGTTTGGGACCTTCGGCCAGCAGGAATAGTGAGGTCTGTAACCCAGACAAATAACAACTCTCACCACAGTCAAGAGATCAAAATGCTTTTGGTGGTGCTGACAATCACCAAGCAGAGACAGGAGGAGGGGAGTTCCCCATGCAGATTAATGGATGAATTGCCATCCATCAAATTCTAGGGAAGGAAAAAAAAAACAACTCAACAACCACCCCTGTGTCCTTTTTAAATAATTATTTGTCCTCTCCGTAGGATTGTACTGCAATTCAACACCTTTCACATCCTTCTTGAGAAGAAGGAAAAACTTTCTAGGGATGGAAGTGCCCACATGACTTCAATTTTTGACAATCCAGAATCTCCAGGCTTTATTCTCTCTGATCTTTGCCCCTTTCTCCAACTTTCTCAACCTTCCCCCACAGTTTGGTATTTTTTTTTCCCCTTTCTCTCTTGTGCAAAGCTAACTTCCTAGGAAAAAGCTGCCGGATATCTGAGCACTAGAGATAACTCATAAACAACAACTCAGCTTCCCCAACCTAAACACCAAGATGTTTGAACGGATCAGAACAAGAAGTGTTTGAAAAAAATAAAAATGGCTGGAGGTGTTAGCACAGAATGAATATGATCACACCACAGAAGAATGTTTTGAATCACTCAAAACCTGGCCTTCAAAAAAAAAAAAAAAAAAAAAGAGAGAGAGAGCGACATTAACAACAAAACCCTTCTTGTTAAAATAAGTCATGCTACTATTATAGTTTTTTTTTTTTTTAAAGGGCAAAAGTAATGATGTAGAAGAGAGGGGTTAAAAGTCTCAAAGTACAGGCCGAGGGCTGAGCACGGACTGACCTGACATTTCCTTGGGTTTTCTTCTTCTGTCTGTACGAATTGCAGAGGAGGGTTCTATTTCCATTTTATCTAATTTTGTCTCCACTCGCCTTTCATAGGAAATCTCTAGAACTCTGAGTAATAATTGCTTCTCATTCTAGAGTTCATTGGCCGTCACTGTTTAAGCTACCTTTTCTTTCTTAATCATCTGTCCTGGGTGGTTTGATATTTTTAGTTCTGTAGAATTCATATGCTACAGAGAGGCCGTCGCGACGCTTTTTCTTTTCTTTTTTTTTTTTTTTAATTTAAGCCCTTAGATGTATTTGACTTCTGGGCACCTAGAACATGTTGTTTTCTTTTTCCCCGTATCCCCGATCCCTTCACCCCAGCCCTGTCTTTTCAGCTTGCTATTTTTGTTTCATGTATTTGCAGTTTGACTGAAGACCACCCAGCTCATGATGTAGCCAGCTCTTCCCTGAGATGCATATCTAACTCTGAATAAACGAATGCAGGAAATAGGAGAGATAACTGTAGGGAAAAGCCATAGATCCCCCCCACCCCTGCATTGCCAGGATTTTCACGTTTCACAGCCAGCCAGAGGCTGAGCAGCTCACTTTATTAACATCCTCTGCCTTCTGCTAGCGAACCCAACAGGCTGGGTTTGAGAGGCTCTAGTAGTTCCCCGAAAGTCTGAGGAACTGGAAGCATATTCTGAGACTGTCTGTTTGTTACCGTCAGTAAACTGCAGGAGTTCTCATTTTACCAGATGGTATTATGTGCTTGTATTATACATTCAAAATTCTCAGGCTGGGTATCCGGGTGTCTGACTAGGTATCGATAAGTCTACTATAACACAGTATTTATTTAAAAAGAAACTGTAAGAAGATAATAATAATTACATATCACATAATGGTCAAAATCACAAAGCACTCGTTTTATGTAGCACTTTCCTGCCTAAGAGTACAGAAGTGAAACAGTTACTTAAATATTAAATGATCATGTTTCATAAAGACAGATGGGCCTGGGCTTGCGGAGTTAGAATCAGCTCTTTTGGACTGGTGAATTATTTTCAAGATGGGCAGCAAAAAAAGTAGAACCTTCTCCGTGATGATAGATAAGGACTGTTCTTAATTTCCATTTCCTTAGAATATAGAAAAGAAAGAATTACTCAAAAAAGAAAAAAGTCCTGGCTCTGTTATGGAGAGCCCATAGTGGCTTTCCAAGGGAAGGAATCAATCTGGTTAATTCAAAATTGCCACGGGTTTTCCACATCTGGCAGATTTGGGTCTTCGGCCTGACTTTTTGCTTGATAAAATATAAATGGAAAAGTGTACCAGGATATTTGCAGTTCTTGTGCAAGGTTCTTATAACCATCTCAGAATTTTCTTCATCACAGATAAAGACAAGCTAAATTCTTTCTCCTTCTCTCGCCTTTTCCTTGATAATATTTCTGGGTCTGGGAGCAGGAATAACTTCGTAGTTCGGATTTTCTTCTTGTGGCAGTAGGTGAGGAGGGAAGAGAGGGGTGTGTTAGCAGTGACCCAACTTGATTATTTTTCATTGGGTTTGAATTTATTTATTTTTTAAGTGTGAACATAGAAAGTAGCACCTGATCAATTTAAATGTGTCAAAAAGTGAAAGAAACCCCCCCCAGCTTTTTAAAGGAAATGAAGGCTATAACGCAACCAAGGAATTAGAGTTCACGTGGAGGCTGACATCTGAACTGTGACTGTTCTTCCTGGGGGAACAGAAAAGTAGGAGATACCTAATTTCATGATGGTGGACAGAGATGAGAGGAGGTGGGCAGGCACACCCACCCACCCACCTGGAAGGGGTCTCATTAACTGACATCCACCTATAGGGAGTGAGGGTGGCTGTCCCTGCGAATCGCCAGGGACCGAGCATGAATGTGCAGGCTGTGTCAAGGCCGGGCAGCTGCGGATTTGACAAGGTCTTGCTGACTTGGGACGTGGTATTCGGTGCTTGCTGGGCTGTGCCACCGTGAGTGCCTGCCACACACGTGCACACATGTTCTCTTGGAAAATGATTCACTGTGCTGTCAGCCCTGAGTTCTCTTTCTTGTCCAGTAACCTTCATCTGGGATCCATAAAGCGCTTTTGAAGCTCAGGATTGTTCTTCCTTTGCTGTTAGTGTATCTTGATGGCCAGGAGCCTATTGGAGGATTAATATTCTTGGGATTCGTTCCTGAAAAGGACCTCTTATGGCCCTGGGCCTGGTGAAGAAAGCAATTGAAAGCCTCGCACCAAATTAGTATGGCTCATTCAAAAACTACCCCCTGTAAAAACTAACCCTCTGTTACACTTTGTGACCAAGGGGTAAGGAGATGATATTCCCAGGAAGGTGGCCTGGGCTTTCTGATCCTCCCGAATTCTGCCCTGAAGAGTGGCAGGTAGAACTCTGTGGTCCAACACAGCCCCATCCAGTGGATGCTGACGCTTCTTCTTCTTCAGGCCGCTTTTGGGGATCTTCATTACTTTCATGTGGGCCAGTCGCTAGTTTTGATTTCAATGATAATTTCTTCCTTCCTTTTTTTTTTTAAGCCTGTCTCCGTAGTTATGACAACACAATTAACATTTCGTTTTGGTTTTAACTCTCTTCTCTCTCCCTACTCCCAGTCTGCAGCCAGGAGAGCAGGGACGTCCTGTGCAAACTGTCAGACCACCACCACCACGCTCTGGAGGAGGAATGCTAACGGGGACCCCGTCTGCAACGCCTGTGGGCTGTACTACAAGCTGCACAATGTAAGTGGGACTGGGGCCCACGAGGCAGGGCCCCTTCCTGACCAGGTCCAGCAGGCAGCATCACCCCCGTCCCCCAGACTTGCCCATGCTGAGGCCACATAGGAGGCCTCACACAATCTGTTCTATGGGACGAGCTGGAAAACTATTTTGTCCAGCGTATCTTTGTTGAGACAGAGGGGCTCGGGAGACAAGGCCCTGAGGCACACGTGGGACATACCTCATGTGATGTGGGCTGTCCCATATGCTGGGTGGGCCTGCCTGGGTTTTGAAGGGGAAAAAAGAATCTTAGCCTTGGAAAGCAAAACAAAAACAAACGAAAAAACCTCACTACTTCTGTACTGTTGTTGATTTACATTTTAAACTTTTTGCAAAAAGAGAGAGAATGAGCTAGTGAGAAAGGGAGAGTGGGGACACAGGGCACCGGGACTCTGAAGCCAAGAGGGCCCATTCAGTAACAGGTGACCCGTCTCGCCTAAGTCTGCGCGATGAATTCTAAATGGATTCTCCGTAGAGGAGACATGGAAGGAAGTGTCTGTGACACTTCACCTGACGTCTTTGTCCAGAGTGGCTTCACAGGCAGAGGACTGGGGAAAGTGGCCGGCTGGGGCTGGGAGCAGGGGTCACACCAGGGGAAGCAACTCTCCCCTTCCCTGTCCCATTAGCAGGATGGTACTTGCCCGTCACCTGGCTTTAGCTGTGCCATTTCTAATCTTTCAATTTAGGGTCTTCTCATTTTATGATATCTTTACCTTAAAAATTTTTTTCCCAGTTTTTTTTTTTTTTCCGGAACCATTGCTGGCTAACAGGCCATGGCCTTAATAAGGCCTCAGGTTTGCACTAGTCTTATAGAAAAAATAGGCATTTCCCTCTCTCTTTCTGCCTTTCTCTGTCTTTTCTTTGCAGTGCTTTCCGAGTCTCCTAAAGTCTCTTGGCCAACACGACTTTGGCACAATCTAGGGCTGAGCAGGGAGGGGGCAGGGACTTTGGCTCAGGGCCGTTGTGGCAATGAACTCATCTTCCTTATTGGGAGAGGGGGGAGCTTTTCCGGTTAGGTTGTTTGAGTCACAGGGAACTTCTCAAGGTTGACTGCAGCACCCTACTGATGCACTTCTTGGGAACAAGTCGCGGTGATTCCGAGGAACGCTGTGCCCTCACCTCCCTGTCTGTGATGTCATTCCCTCTTGACACCCTGCAGTGCCCAGAGCTGATGGAACTGGAGTTTTCCTATGACCTGTTCCTCCTCAGCTTCTGGGACTGTGGCTCCATAACATTTATTGGCAAGTAAATCCAAGTTCTGTTTTCACTTTGGGAAATGGACTTAACTGCCTGCAGTAGAGATAGAGATTTGTGATTAAAATCTGGAGGATTGGGGGCATTAGAACTTCTCTCCACTATCGGCACTGCCTGTGAAGTTATTTCTGCACCGTAATTTGTGGCTTTCAAAGAACTCCCATGTTACGTGATGGGAGAGAGCCTCAGAGAGCCCCATGATGTAGACAGGGCAGAAACGATTTGCATTGCAGTTTTACATGAAGAAACTGTGACTGAGGGAGGGAAGGAAGTAGTGTGTGTAAGGTGACCAGGTGGGGAAGAAGAGTCAAAACCAATTTCAAAGGATCAGAAGGCTTCCCTCCCTGCCCGCCCCCCCCCAACCAGGTCAGTAGCATCGGGATTAAGACACCAACCATTGGAAAACAACACACTTTTATTTTAGAATGCAACAAAATTGGCTCGGCGCCTGTAGCTCAACTGGCTAAGGCGCCAGCCACATACACCTAAGGTGGCGGGTTCAAATCCCCAGCCCGGACCCGCCAAACAACAATGACGGCTGCAACCAAAAAATAGCCGGGCATTGTGGTGGGCGCCTGTGGTCCCAGCTACTTGGGAGGCGGAGGCAGGAGACTTGCTTGAGCCCAGGAGTTGGAGGTTGCTGTGAGCTGTAATGCCACGGCACTCTGCCCAGGGGGATAGCTTGAGGCTCTGTCTCAAAAAAAAAAAAAAAAGAATGCAACAAAATTGTAATACTTTGTGTGCATATGTATTTCTTATTTCCACGGGCATACAGGAATTAGGGAAATTAGCTATCTATACTTTGAATGGTTAGCTGCGATGAGACATGACCCCACTTGTGTCCAAATATTTATGTATATGTATATATTTCTGAAGAATATGAATTTCTCAGATCTTAAGAAAGGCCAAGGCATCCTCTCCACTGCTCACCCCCATGCTGTCCTGAGTTAGACCTCTCTTCCTGGCTCCGGGGACTGGGAGAGAGAAACTCCCTCATCTCCAAGAGTGCTTTTGTTCTGTCTCCTCTGGTTTAGTAGGACCTCGTGAAAGGGGGCGAGTCGTGTGTATTCAACAATGAGAAATGCTAATCTGGTAGCGTTTCCATCGCTGTGCCCGTCCAGATCTCTGTGCGAGGACGCCATAAGCTCTTTCCTCCTTATCTCAGGGTTGAGATAACCGCATATCTGGGGATCAGTGTGTCTAGGTGGTGTTACGACTAGCTGTCTGGCGCTGTGTGGCTATCTGTGTAACCAGATATTATATTTAGATACCTGGCTATGTATATCTAGATATCAGCGTGCAGGGCTGTGTATCTGGACATTATCTGGGTGAAGATTTGATGTGGGAGTAGATTCCTGTCATCTCTGCAGGCTGCTGCTTTATCTTGATGATAACTTGGAGGAAGGCCCTGAGCCGTTCCCTGGCAGTGACCTTTCTCGGCTCTTTTGCCATCAGTCGTGGGGGAAATAAGGTCTCAGCTTCAGCGTAGGGGTCTGTCCCCCATGCCCAGCACCTCCCTGGGAAGCTGTGTGTCCTCTAGTCTCAGCCACTTGGCCCCTCTTGGGTATCTGAAGTCCCTCTTTCTTAACTGCCATTTTCCAGCGTTGAGAGCAGCCAGGTGGAGCCCAGAGCCAAGGCACTCTCAGCACCCAGGGGAGGGGATGTTTTCACCTGAGGAAGTCAGGGGTGACAGGGACCTTGGCATTCACTCCTGGAGTCCTTTTGCCACCTTCCCCTGGGCGCGTGGCCAGGTGCATGGTTTGCTCTTTGGGACAGATATCTGTTCTTGTGGTTAGTGTCACTCTGTCCAGGTGCGGACTAGCTCTGTGTACCTTGTAGAGTCCCCTTTCCTAATCCCCCCCAAGCTAATGCATTTTAAAAAGACAAATAAGGCTTATCAAGAAAAGTGGTAGCAATCTCAGACATGGAAGTCTGGCGATTTTGAGAGCAGGGCCTGGCCTCTGTCTCTTTTAGTCTTTGGTTCATTCTGGGTCTTTAATTTTTAGGTTGAGGGTACTTTCCTGCTAACATGGTGGTTGGCGCCCCATCGGTGGTTATTAAATACTTGTGGACTGGTTGTTTGTCTAGTTAGAAGTGGAGAGTCAAGGTGAGGTAGAAATAGCAACTTGGAGCTATCGAAATTGCTATGGGAGAGTTACAGGCAAGGGATTCCCTTTTGGGAAGGCACGTTTTTAAAATACAACCCTGGGACATACAAATTCCAGGAGAGTTTACTGCACCCCTCATTGTGAAGAGGCCTTGTGGAAGAAGAGAAACACCTCCCCCCCCCAAGTTACTCAGCAGAGCAGTCCAACCCCCTCCTCTCCCAGGCAGGCAGGCTTAAACAACCGAAGATTGATTACCTTGGCAGCGCTTCTCAAGTTCTAAGACAGATTTGTCAGATGAGTAGAGAAAATGGTATTTCCCACTTGAAGATTCCTTAATAGCCTCTGTTCTCTTGAGACAGTCTAAGGAAATTGTAAAGAAATAAGACAAGTTATTCTGTTTTAGTTATCAGAGAAATACGACTGTTCTAGGTGGGTCTCTAAATCTGGTAGCTAAGTCTGTCTTAGGTACTGGGTCCCCGGGGAAGAAGACAGGAGAGGGTGGGAGGGAGGAAGGGGCCATCTGATCTGAAACAGACCCTTGACCCGGGGCGGCCAGGGGAACCCGCTCCCCTGTGCACTGTGCATATAGCCTGTGCATTTCAGAGACAGCAAAAAAAGTAAAAAAAAAAAAAAATTGATCTTTGTTTAGATTAACAGACCCCTGACTATGAAGAAAGAAGGCATCCAGACCAGGAACCGAAAAATGTCTAGCAAATCCAAAAAGTGCAAGAAGGTGCATGACGGGCTGGAGGACTTCCCCAAGAGCAGCTCCTTTAATCCGGCCGCCCTGTCCAGACACATGTCCTCTCTGAGCCACATCTCGCCCTTCAGCCACTCCAGCCACATGCTGACCACGCCCACGCCGATGCACCCGCCGTCCAGCCTGTCCTTTGGACCTCACCATCCTTCTAGTATGGTCACCGCCATGGGCTAGAGGCCTGCTCGCTGCTCCCGGGCTCCCAGTGAGAGTCCCTGCAGCCCTTCACTTGCATTTTTGCAGGAGCAGTATCATGAAGCCGACAGGCGCGGGAGGTGTGCGTCCGAGGGCAGGAAGCCGAACGATTTGCCATTTTGCAAAGGAGCTCACTGTGGTGTCTGTGTTCCAACCACTGAATCTGGATCCCATTTGTGAATAAGCCATTCAGACTCTCATTCCCTATTTAACAGGGTCTCTAGTGCTGTGAAAAAAAAATGCTGAACGTTGCATATAACTTATATTGTAAGAAATACTGTACATGCGAGGAAGACTTGACTGCGTCTGGGTATCTGTAAGGCATGAAGGACTCCAGGAAGCTTAAGGAATCTGGGGAAAAGAAAGGCTGGAAATTAAGAAGAAACTAGGTCTGATATCCCAATGGACAAACTGCCAGTTTGGTTTCCTTTCACTGGTCACAGTTGTTTGATGCATTAAAATAAAAAGCAACCAACCAAACAAACAAACAAAAAAAACAGAAAAAAGATTAAAAAAAAAAAAAAAGAAAAATGTCGTAGCCGAATCATTCGTTCAAAGCTGTGGGCCTCTGGAAAGGAAACACCCGTTCCGGGCCATCGGTGTTAACAGCGCTCGAAGGTGCCACCAAGGGTTTGGCTAGCCACTTTCTAGGCCTACATGCTTTGTGAACCAGTTCCTGTAATTGTTGTTTGTATGTATAATTCAAAGCACCAAAATAAGAAAAGATGTAGATTTATTTCATCCTATTATACAGACTGAATTGTTGTATAAATTTATTTACTGCTAGTGTTTAAGGACTGCTTTTTTTTCGTTGTTGTTGTTTCATTCTCTCTCCATTTTTGGTTGAATAAACTAGATTCTATTCAGTTGACCTAAGGTGGTTGTGCTCTGGAGGGTTTATTTTCCATTTTGTTTTTGGATGATATTTATTAAATAGAGCATCTGTCTTTTCCCCGCCGCAGCCTGTGCTGAGGGTAGCAATGTATGAGTTACCCATGTGCATGTCAGCAATCCCGGCCCCCCAGGCCTCGTCCTGCCGGCAGCCTGGCTGACCGTTACCCCTGTCGTGTTCTGTGTTAGTAATCACTGCCTTTAATACAGTCTGTTGGAATAATATTATAAAAATAATAATAAAGTTAAATATTTTAAAACAACAAAATGGCATGGTATCCAAGTGGTGGCCAAGCTCTCTTTCTAGCATCTGGTAGCTCTCGCTCATTTAAGGAAAAAGCATTACAAAAACCTAACAGACACACACCAGACATGTTAAGTGAATCACTAGGAGACGATGAGAACCCAGTCATCACTGTGTATTTTGGGGGGGAAGATGGGAATATTTGGAGTTCCTTCGCACAGCCCAGAGGAATTTATGCTGGGGCTAGGTCACTCCTGTGGTCCCCTGGCCAGCTGCAGTGGCCCGTCCTGTCTCCTGCTGCACCTGCAGCAGAGGGCTTCTCCAAGGAGAAGTGGGAAGGTTTCCCCGCCAGGTTCACAGGTGCAGACTGAAGCGGATGGATTCCTCGAGGTTCTCTTTGAGATGTCAAGGAGCTGCGAGGCTCTGGGGTTCACTTCTGTTCTGCTTTTCTGCTGTTGAATAGAACCACACTGAAGGGTTGATTGGAATGTTTGTGGAACACCAAATAATCATTTTGTAACTTATGCTGTATAATTTCCTTTTACCGTGGACAGGACGTGTGTAACTATGGCGCACATTTAAACAAAAATAATCTCTGCTAATCGCCTCTCTGCTTTCTGAGCAACTATTTTAAACCTAAATACTAAATGTTGAAATAAAGGAGTAGAGAATGACTGAGATGCTGATGGAGATCTCCCTGGCTCCTAATTAATGACCTGCAATTCGAAAGTGGTTCCCAATTACTTCTGAAGCACCAAAGGAAATAACCCGTCTATTGGCATCTTAAACTTGGGGGGATTTTATTGGGTACTTGCAGCGCCTCGGGATTTGCTACCTCTTTTCTTCATGAGCAGATTTGAGTTAATGCCCTTTCACCTTAAGGACAAGGAGTTCAAATTCTTGGCATTCCTGGGGCTAGAATTGGGGACGAGGAGGAGGAAAGTCTCAAACTCGGTACCTCAGCTAGGTTTTGTTTTAAGTACTGTAGCTGTAATGGAATATTTCATCCCGTCCCTTCAGAGAAATGTCAGCTCCTCATTCTACACATCGATTTAACCTTCTGTTTCTAGCAGCTGATGCAAAAGCTTTTAATATACATATATGATAATGATAATTCAATTTCTTCTTTAGAATGTTGTGTGTTCATGTTTACAACGGTTTTGTTCTTTTTCTTTTAAAAAAAATTTTATACGTTTAATTTAGAAAAGGCCAAGATTGTAGGTCTAAAACATTGCTAAAATATTTCTGAGTAAATTGTCCCCATCATTATTTTCAATCACTTTTGCTTCATTTTTGAAATATTTGCATTAGCTCATCTCTAGCAGGGTATTTGAGAAACATAGGATATTTTGGGGGGGGGAGGGAGCAATATTTAATTTTAAAATGCTTAATTTCTTTAAAACATTCTAAAACCCAACGTAATGAAAAACGCTATAGTTCTTGGACAGTTTTTGCTGCTTATAACCTGCTTACACAGCTAACAGTAGAAGTTCACCAAGTACACACCTTGTGTGTTTGGTCAACAAATGTCTATTGGGGGTTTAGGTTGAACTTCATTTGAAATCACCTCTTCTTTTCATTTTTTGCTTTTAAAAGCCGACCAGGAAATAGAGAAATCAAGACTCCAGTGATGTCGTTCCTAACTTTGTGATATTTGCATTGTTACCCCCCTGCACGAACTCTGGTGAGGCTCGGCTGGGCCTCTGGGCCTCTGGGTTAGTCCCCCAGCAGGTACCTTGTGGTCAACCTGGAGATGCTCAGAACCAGTCTGTTTGCTAAAGCTTTCTAAGGCTCTTTTTTTTTTGGGAGACAGAGCCTCAAGTTGTTCCCCTGGATAGAGTGCCATGGCATCACAGCTCACAGCAACCTCCAACTCCTGGGCTCAAGCGAGTCTCCTGGCTCTGCCTCCCAAGTAGCTGGGACCATAGGCGCTCGCCACAACGCCCGGCTATTTTTTTGGTTGCAGCCATCATTGTTGTTTGGCAGGCCTGGGCTGGATTCGAACCCGCCACCTTAGGTGTATGTGGCTGGTGCCTTAGCCACTTGAGCCACAGGCACGGAGCCGCTTTCTAAGGTCTTAACATTATTTTTCACAAGACTTCATTATAGTATTTCATCAGTCTAAAGCTGTGTGAAGGGAGCAGACTCTTTCCGGGGGCCGCATACCTGACTTTTGAGTTTCGTAAGACACCTGTTTCCATTTTCCAACTCACAAACCCAAGTTCAACCTGTTGCCTGCCTGGATGGTTTCATCACAATGGGAAACTGTCCTATTTACATTTCAAAGACATAAAGGCATTATGACTTCATTCATCCCCCTCACCATGTCTTCAACCCCAACCCCAAACCCACCCCATATCCCAGAGCCATTTTTGTGATCCTTCCTGGGTAGAAATCATTGCTGACCTCTCTGCAATTTCCAAGCTCAGGAGAGATTAGAAGACCAAAATGGAACATTTGAACAATGGCCTGTAATCTGACCCACAAGACAAAAATGTTAGCCCTTATCCAAATCAGCTGAGCAACACCCCGAGCCCCTGTTTTTTACTTCTAAAGGAAACACACACTTTGAAAAACATTCCCATCTTGGTGCCACCTTGCTCCAGCAGGGCAAATACACTCTCAGATTTGACTTGTTCACACCCTTTGCAAAGATCCCAGGGAAGGCAAAACCCTGGACATCACTCATTGGAACATGTCACGACTATCACTTGAGGAATTTGGAAAATTGGGCTTCATTCCTGGCTCTGCCAGTAATTAACAGAAAGTTCTGAGGCCATTTGTCTGATTTCCTGGAAGTGGGCCCTTCATCTATATAATTAGATGTTCTGTTAGACCCATTTGAGAAGGAAAACACCATGATTCCATTGGATTTATATTTATTTATTTATTTAGGGCATCCTTTATTAGGAAAGGCTAAAGGCTTCCCCATACCCTCTGCCAGAATTTTCACCAGGGAGTTTGCAAAGCCTGGAGCTAGTGTGACCCCTAAGACTCCAGACAGGATCTGCCTACTTAGTATATCTCGTGAGCTGCAAATTAACTTGTATTTTACGACTATCCACCCCGGACAGGAGTCAGCATCTCAGTCTTCAGAGTCTCCACTCTTTCTGAAATGTGTCCAGGCTCCTCTGGGGCTGAGTACACAGTACTCGCTTGTCCTGCTAATTTTGGCAGCCTGGTTCATATTTCTCTCGCCCATTGTGTGAAGAAATTCTGCCTGAATTGCTTACCGGCTATTCTAGGGGTACAGTCAGAGCCCAGTGTTTCTTTTTCCTTGCCCTTTCTCTCGTTCTCCCCGGAGAAGGGAACACACAGAGGAAACTGAGAGATGCCCACAAAGGCTGCTCCTTTTCGGGTGCTCTGTGCAGAGGCTGGTGTCCCTGGTCACTTCCTGACTCGCCCTTGAGCTCCTTTGCAGGGGATCCTGGTACATTAGCTACATTGTCTCTGGCGCTTTTTGACAATCCCCTGTCATGTCTGTGTGCATCCTTTGGCAGGCTGCATGCTGGCACCGGGATTTGGGGCCCTCTCCCCCCACCCCACCCGCCCTCCGCAGGCCTCATGCAGAACAAAAGCTCATGCTCTCATCCTTATGCTCCCGGTGGTGGGGCCAGGCCCCAGCGAGAGCCCCAAAGATATGCAAGAACCTGGGGAGCTTTGTGTTTCTAAGGAGGCATTTTTGGGCCTGGCATGGCAGGATTTGGGGATACAGAGGTACAAGGCCACTGGTCCCCAGAATGGCATCCTCACGCAGTGAGTGATCGGAAGGGGACCCCACTGCAGAGATTTGGTCTGCACGTCCCCTAAATGGCCAGGCTGTTGGCAAAGAAACCAGCCAGTCTGGTCGTGTGCTTTTTTTTGAAAGGGGGGTTGTCTGTAGGCATAAGAAACTTCCAGAAAATGAAAGCTTTCTTTCGTTCCTTTTTCCCTAATTATAGAATTAGTTCATATTTATTGGCCAAACTTGTGAAGTACTGAAACGTTTTCTCTAAAGGAGCAGAAGCAACAGGATATCTTTCCCATTGCTGATGACCTGGCCTAGTCCAGTCCTTTGAATAGTTTTTTTCAAATGCTTCCAGGAATCTGGTGGCCCCCAGTGAGGGGAGGACTGGGAAGAGGGTTGGGACATCATTTTCTTTCTGAAGGTCATCCAAACTCCATTTCATGAACTTGAAGGGGCCGTGAAATAAAAACCACCTTGTGAAAGGTGGCCGCCCTCGCTGTTCTTATTCCTGGGGGGGGGACTCTGCTCCTCTTAACTGGGACCGTTGTCACAGGCCATCCTGAGGACAGCTTGGGCACCGCCCGGCTCATGTGACTCTGAACACATCAGCAGCTTTCTCTGCTGCCCCTAGCTGAGGTCACCGTGGGTGCTGAGCTGCAGCTGCCCGGCTCCCTCTCAGCTAACCCTGCCTCAGAAGCTCTCTGTCCTCTTCTTCTCCTCCACGAGCAGAAGGGCTGTCCCTGTGCTGGCCTCTCTTTCATGCATCTGCGGCCTGAGCATGTGAAGCTACCCTGTCTTTCACTTTGACCGCCTCTGGGCTCCCTCGTGGCGGAGTGACCTGGGTGCATCTGAGCAAGCTGGCCTTTAGAGAATTCCAAATTCCCCAGTAAGCAGCTGATTGGATTCACTCTGCTGAAGACCAGACTACAGGGCTCCTGACCACTGCATGGGACCATGGGGCCATCCTAGAAAGACAGGACCACACTTTGTTCAGTCCAACACTGGGGA